TTCGTTGTCGGGACTTGTGTCTGTTGACGAGTCGTGTATCGCAGGAGTGGTCGCGCTTTGAGAGGTATAAGCTGGCGAGGACAAGGGTTCAGCAGGCTTTGTCCATTGCACAGGAGAGTTGACTGCGATCGGCAGGCTCGTAGTAGCATTGCCAGACTTTCCCGGTGCATGTGGTGTGGTGGAAAACTGGCTTTTTGCCCCCTTTGTGGTATCGACAGATAGCGCCGCCTTCGTTTCGCATTGCATCCTTTGTGGAGTTGTTGTTCGAGTAGTTGACTTGACATTGGCCCCGGTGCTTGATTGAGGTTTACATTTATTGGGAACCTCGAAGGTAACAGGAGAAGCAGGCCGCGATGTCGTAGATTTCTGTTTCCGGGAAGGTCCTGGGCTTTGTGATGCCTTTTGCGATGGGAGTATGGGTGTTCCAGGCGTGGAGCTTGCTCGCGTGAGGCTCGGTCGACTGCCCGACACGCCTTGTTGTCCAGTCTTCAAAGAAGAGACCGCGGAGGAGGGTGATCTGACTGAGGAAGACTCCTTCTTCTTGACATTGTCGATTGGCGTAGGTGCAGGTGTGGGAGTCGGAGATGGCTGAGCGGTTGTGACACTAAATTGTGATGCGAGCGATCGCTTCAGTTTGTCGTCTGACGGGGTTTGCCTCGCAGGAACATTCGACTCGTTCAATGACCTTCCCCTGTTCATGTAGAGAAGAGAAAGGAGAGAGAGTTAGCCTTGAGTGACCGGAACATGCTGCGTAAAGCACGTGGCCATTGCATCGCGCCAATGCGACTCTTGTAAGTCGATGCTGCTGCACACCGACAACAAACGAACCATGAACAAAAATGTGTGCACGACACCCCTTTTTAAATATCGAGGTTGCAAAGAGGGAACATACTGCGTGATGTCGCTTGCTTGCAGGAACTTCCATTCCGCCGACGTCGGCGCTGGCGCGTCGGGATTGGCAAAGGCATCGTTTGGCAATGTGTCGACGTGGGTCGCGACCGCGAAGAGCTCACGGAGCTTGCGCTTCCTCGACGTTACGATTGCACTGTAGAGGATCAGCATGAAGAAAATTATACCGCTGGGATCGTAAAAAATCGCGGATTCGAATGCAATTTAATTCACCTGTACTCGATGCGCTTTGTTTGAAGCAGCCTCGATAAGTCGGCTTGCCCGACCTCAGTCATGGCATCGGCGACGGCGGCATCCGTTTGATGACCAAACAGATGCACAGGGGACGACGATGGAGCTGGACAGGCGGAAAATCGAATGCACGGCGATGCAGGTGGTCGTGATTGGGGCTGCGTTGATGGGTTTGTTGATGGCCGTTTCGTGAGAAAGTCGCCAAGCGTGAGAAGGGGGTGTCCAAAATTTTGTCGGACGGTGATGACTGCTTTTGGGGGGGGGGGCAGAGAGTCACAGGGAATCTTAGGGGGGAGTCGGGGGGACCCAGAGGCGCGCCAGTTGAGTCTAGCTGCTCAAGTCAGCGGCGGTGGAATTTGCTTGGTGGGCTTTTGGCTACCCACCTAATAGTAAACGGCGCAACGCGCGTCCGCGTCCCAAGTACGACAAGGAAGTAGGAACTGTGGCTTGCATGACCCGCACTGTGCCAAGGCAGCCGGAACGAGTACCTGCTCGCGTTCAAGTTTGGGAATTAGGTATCTCCCAGGTAAATACCTACCTAGGTAGGTAGGTAGGTACGTAAAAAGGCTATATGTTAGATCTTTTGACCAGAACTGAAATAATTTTTCATCAATGTCTCATGTATTCCAAACATACAGCCTAATGTTACCAGAAGTTTCATGTACTATCAAATCCTGGACAATTGAACGAAAAAAAAATTGAATTTTTTGAATGCTTCTTCATTCACCATTCAAGGATTCATGTACGCTGTTAGAAAAAAAAAAATCTGTCGTTGCCCTTGTCGGCCGCGGCGGCGGCCTCCGATGACCACCACGTGTAGGCACGTACCTATGAGTATATCAAAAAAAAAAAAAATTGACAATGAAAACAAAGATGACAAAAGAATAGGAAAGAAAGAGATTTAATCCACTGCATCGTTCAGAAATCGGCAAAGTACTGCTCGTACTTTTGCGCCATGTCGTCCGTGTAGACGTCCCGTTTGCCGTCGTCCTCGGGATACGTGTCGAAGCACTGCGCGTCACCCGCGTACCGCACTGGCGGGACAATGGGGCCTTGCCGTCGGCGGTTGAGCACGTCGTCCCAGTCTATGGTGTGGAAGAAGGGGTGGGCTTTGACGCGGCTGGCGCCGCCGATGATGTTGCCGAGGCGGCGGGATCGGTCGACGGTGCAGAAGGAGCAGATGATGTCTTTGGCGTGGTCTGATATCGAGGGTTCTTGGGGGAACGTTACGGGTTTTTCTACAATCCTGGTGCAGAGGAGTTGGGGCGTCAGTAGTTGGGGGGGCGAAAGGCCTCCCTTCTCTTTGAAAAGGGAAGAGAGAGGGGGTGGAGGAAACAGGCGTGAAATGGCATGTGACTTACTGCTTATAGATCTCAATGGGGTTTTGATGCCAAAAGGGCGGATACCCCGTGAGGAATTCATAGATTAGGATCCCCAACGCCCACCAGTCCACTGCCGTGGTGTGTCCCTTGTTCTGAATGACCTCTGGCGCGAGATACTCTGGGGTGCCGCAGAGTGTGTACGTCTCGACGGGATGGCGGCCGTTGTAGCCGAGGCGCTTTGCGAAACCAAAGTCGACGAGCTTGATATGGCCGTGCTGGTCCAGCAAGAGGTTCTCCGGCTTCAGGTCCCGGTATGCCACACCGCCTTGCTGCTCGTGGAGATACTCCAGGATGAGCACAATCTCGGCAGCGTAGAAGCGGGCAGTCGACTCGTCGAACCGGCGGGACTTTCGGAGGTAGCTGAAGAGTTCGCCGCCGGGGACGTAATCGAGCAGCATGTAGAGACAGTCGTGGTCAGAGAACGAGGCAACAAGGTTGGTGATGAAAGGGTGACCTGCCACGTCGGCCAGGACAGACCTCTCGTGGCGCACATGGTCGACCTGTTTTAACTTGATGACTTCGGTCTTGCGCAGTATCTTGAGGGCATATACCTCGGCGTTGCCTGTCGTGTCGTCCTCCAGAGGCGTGGCGGGTGCATTTGACGGGCGAACAAGACAGACCCGTGCAAACGTGCCTGCAAAGGAACGAATATTTTCATGTCAGTGAGATTTTGGACAATGGCAAAAAAACGCCCTGTTTGGCTTCATTCGAACGCCCGCGCTTGTGCCTGTCCCGCGCCCCTTTTTTTTCCTGAAATTTATCAGGCGCCCCCCCTCTTTCAACCTCCCTTTCCCTCCTGGCAGGGGGTAAATCACCAACCTGTTCCCAGAGTGCGGACTACTTTGAAATTACTAAGACTCAATCTGGTTGTCCGTGGCAACGACACAATCTGTTGATTGTGCGCTCCGGCATCTTGCGGTCGGTATCGACCCTGTTGGTGATGACGGTGTTCGTGTGCTATGTGAGACCCAGAGACCGCCGCCGAAGCTAGGCTAATGGATGAAGACAAAAGAGCGGGCGCCTGCGACTGGGCCACCGTGGCGGCCATGTCGTCGGAAACAGGGTCGGGTTCAAATATGACGGCCTCGTCGCGTTGAGCGCTCTTCTGGCGGTTTGGTTGTTGAGGTGAGCGACGGGCCGAACTATCGGAGAAGCACTTTTGTAATATGCAAAGTAGGGGCATGAGTGAGGTTCCGATGCCTACCCACCTGAAAAAGGGTTGGCTGGATGGGCAACAGGACCAGGATCCCTTTTTTTTGTCGTCCAAGATGCGCTTTTTTCCCCGTCTGGTCGGATCCCAAAGGGAAAACCAGCGTGTCGACACAAATGGCTGCCGTTTAATTGGTGTTTGCGCAAATCTGCTCTTCACTTGGGGCTCATAGCCACGTTTGACACGCAGTCACGCAGGTGGCTAAAGAAAAAACATGTGCCAAATGGGAGAAGATTTGTAAAGGGAAGTCGCAACAGTTACGCTGTGATGTTGGTGTTGGTATATATGCTTGCTGCACGGCACGCGCTCCTGCTGCTCTTCCGAGCAGACAAGGATGATTTGCGCCGTTGCTCCGTTGGGAGCTCTGCGTTACTTTGAACTGGGGAATTTCCAGTAGAAAGCGGTCGCATATGGACCACGCAGGACCGCCTTGCGTCGTAGGTGGCAGCTGGATGGTTCTCTGGATCGATCGCGCCTCCTCCCGTACAGTCAGTCGTAAGGATCCTCCAAGCGAGGTCCCGTGGCTTGATCTGGGCTTGAGCTACCCGAGCAATGCGCTGACTCAAGGACGATCGGGGAGGGAAATAAACGGTCGAGACAGCAAAAAGCGAATGCTAATGGGTTCCTTAGAAACAGGTGATGAAGACTGCTTTGTGCAAAGAAGAAGCCAACGGGTCGGGAAGATTGGCAGTAGGAAGGGCCAAATAAGACGAGATGAGACGGAGAGGTAAGCACACGGCCAGCCAGGCAGGACGACGATTCGTGACGTCGTGGCAGAATCCCGGTGGGATGGGCAAGGATGCAGCCGATAGCCACGGCGCGTTTGAGTCGAGATGGCCCGCATGGAGGTGTCCAGCATTTATTTGTATGTGCTAAGGTACCGGGTACTTCGTACCTGGGTGGTAGTTGGTGCTCGGTTTGTGTACATTACGTGCGTATGCTGCAATTAGATGCACAGTCCCGGTCATCTGCAGACAACATGCCGCAAAGGACACCAGCCAGTCCCAAGTCATACTCCAGCACATGAAGAGGGCATGCATGGCATCCGTGGCGTGGCATCGCGTGCATTGGTATGTCCCCATGACGCAACATGTCATGAACCACTGACCAGGGAGGCACGCGGCGGGCACCGACCAGAGCTGGGTTTGGGGCCGAATAGGCCAATAAAAGCAAGAAGAATCGTCATTGATGGCCATGCTCGCACTACGTCAGCAGTACAAACAAGGCTGTTCTTCATAATTCAAATTAGAAGCAGTCTGTACATAGCATCCGATGTGGTGTAGTGGCTATCATACTGCGTTTTCATGGTCGAACGACTTCGGAGGTACCGCAGGGATCGGGGTTCGATTCCCCGCATCGGAGGATTCACGTCACAAGATCTCATTGCGATAATCTTTTTTATCTCGGGCGCCTTTGGCGCTCCGGAGTCAGCAAGGCAATGCGTGACTGCACCCGTGACTGCACCCCAACCTTGCTTGAGTCCGGCTGGATTTTGACTGGCCTTGACTGGCCTTTGACCTGCATGGAGCCTCAGCTGGCGTTGAATGTCAAATTCCCGCGCTTCCTTTTTGTCGCCTAACAAAGTGCTGCGCTCCCGAGGCTTCAAGAGGCTTCCAGTGAAACGGTGAAACGCATGTCAGGCCACGCCACTGTTGCCGCGCAGTTGGTTGCCAGTCCCAAAAACCCCTGAGGCTAGACTGTGTGGATCGGCGGTGCCCTTTAGTGGACGCCGGTGGACGTCGGTGGCCACTGGCCAGTGACGGACTGACAAACTGACAACTCGACGCCAGCACCGCCCGCCGTCACCATCCGCACCACCTCGTCGCACGACTCGCATCTCGTCGCACCTCGTCGCACCTCATCGCACCTCATACATTTCTCTCCTCGGCTGACAAGGCAACACCAACGGTCGACACCAGCTCAACAAGCATCTCGACGTGCAGTCTTCCTGTTCCCTTCACGTAATCTCGTCGCCATCCGCTGTGCCCTGCTCGTGCCCGTCTCACGCATTGCTCGCTTCCTTTGGCACCGCCATGCGGCGCTGGTGATCGCCATCATGTTCTCCAATTTCACGAACATTGTGCAAAAGGCCCAGCAGCTGATTGATCCGACCCAAAGCCTGAATCTGACGAACTCGGATAAGAATCCCTCCAAAGCATCGCTCTTCCAAAACCAGTTCCGCCTGCCCTCCGCCCAGAACCCCCTATACGAGATCAACGCCGAGCTCACCATCCCCCCTTCCCACGCCACGCAGGGCGACAAGGACCATGACCGGGGATGGCACTACGCCGGGAAACTGCACTTGTCCGAAGCGTATCTGTGCTTTTCTACGACACAATCAAGCTTTGCTCAGACCGCAAGCACCTCGACGTCGTTGGCTTTTACAGGGCAGACTCATGGCGCGGGTCCCTGTGGGAACGGCTTCACCTTTCCATTGTGTGCCGTAAGACGGGTCGAGAGGTTAAAAAGTCAGAATTTTCAGGTAAACGATGCCATTCAGACGTATTCCTCATCTTGATTGGCGGGAATCCACTCCCATGACCTTGCGATGCAAACGTACCGGCTGTTTTAACACGCGTCTTTCTTCTTAGTTTGCCCTTGCCATCACGACGTGGAATGCATCCTTGGCCGATAGTATGAAAGAAAAGCACGGAAGCAAAGACGCAAAGGAACTCCGGGAACAGCGATTCACGATCCACCTGGCTGGCTCCCGCCCTGAATGCGAGCGATTCTGCGATGGCCTGAAGAGGGGGTTGAGAGCCGGCGTGGGCAATGTCGAAAAACTACGAAAAGTTGTCGCAGAGTGCTATTCGGAGCATCTGCTTCGATCCGAAGACAGAAAGACTGCCAGCCCGCCAGACGCCGGGCTGGGAATGATCTTCAGGTATCCAGGCGACCCGAAAAAGCTACGAGACAGAGCAAAAGTGCGGCTCTGGGCCGAATATCTTCGAGATAATGGCAGGAACGCGACCCTGATTCGTCAGCCGACGTTCCATAAACTGATTCGGGTCGGCTTGCCCAACCGATTGCGTGGGGAGATTTGGGAGCTTACCTCTGGCTCCCTGTACCTGCGTTTGGAAAACCCGAATCTTTTTGCCGATACCTTGGCCAAGTTTGAAGGGCAGGATTCCCTCGCCATCGATGAAATTGAGAAGGATCTGAACCGAAGCTTGCCGGAATACCCCGGTTTTCAGAGCGAAGAAGGCATTGGCAGACTCCGCCGGGTTCTGACCGCGTACAGCTGGGTCAACCCTGATGTCGGATACTGTCAGGCCATGAATATTGTTGTGGCAGCTCTACTCATCTACATGTCTGAGGCCCAGGCCTTTTTTCTCCTGTCATCCCTCTGCGACCGGCTTGTGCCTGGCTACTACTCGACCACCATGTACGGAACCTTGCTGGACCAAAAAGTGTTTGAATCGCTGGTTGAAAGAACCATGCCCATTCTGTGGGAGCATCTGGTGAAGAGCGATATACAGCTTTCCGTCGTCTCGCTGCCGTGGTTTCTGTCCTTGTACATCAACTCGATGCCATTAATCTTTGCTTTTCGAGTGCTGGACGTCTTCTTTGTTGAGGGCCCCAAGGTGTTGTTCCAAGTTGGTCTGGCCATCCTTCGCATCAATGGCGAGGACTTGCTGGACGCCGCTGATGACGGAGCCTTTATTTCTGTCCTGAAGTCGTACTTTGCGAGACTAGACGAGTCGGCCCATCCCAAGTCAGAAAATCCCAAGCTTCGAGCCGTCACCAGGTTCCAGGAACTGATGGTGGTTGCGTTCAAGGAGTTTTCCAGCATCACTCACGGCAGCATCACGGAACTCCGACTCAAGAAGAAGGATGCTGTTCTGAACAATATTGAAAATTTCGCCAAGCGGACGGCGATCCGAAATCTTGGACCCGACAGCAAGATGCTGGGGAATGAGGAGCTGGGCGCACTTTACGACAGGTTCTACAGCATCCTGTACGAGAGGCAGCAGCGCGACCTAATGATACAGGAAGAAGCCAATAGAAGGGAGAAAACGAGCAGGATGCGAGCGTCGCAAATATTCGCCTCAACTCCCAACCACGTAGAGAAGGGTCGTGTTGGACTCGGCCCCAGCACCAACCTGATGGATTACGATGCATTCAGGGAGTTCTTGGCCAGCATGTGCAAATGGGCCATCTCCGACTCGCCTGGGAACTCGCGAAGCCAAGCCGGGTCTGGGGAGGACAGGTTCTCAAGATTTAACAGCGCGAGACGGGCACCAAGCGGCGGTATTGCACCCTGGGGACCTGGTCCAGAGCCTGCAGAGCACGAGTTCCTCAGGCGACTGTACGGGAAATGGGATACGGAGGGAAACGCCGCCCTTACTCTGCAGAACGTTGTCACCGGCCTGGCAGGGATCAAGGGCAAAGGAGATGTCATGGGCACCATTACGTACTTTTTCGAGCTTTACGACGACGACGGTGACGGAAGGGTAGATCGAGAGGGTATTCTGCGCATGTCGGAGGCGCTGCTGTTTCTGTCACGTCGTGGTCTCGAAGGAAGTCTCAGCCCGAACTCCTCTAGTCTGGCTCTCCAGGGTGACGCGGCCCATCCTCAGGACTCCCAGATAGGCATGCTGGCGAACGTGCCATTGAATGAGAGGTTTCTGGGCAGTGTGAGCGCCTTTATTCGCCGATGTTTTGAATACGCCGACCCGGATCATCCGCAGAATCACGGTTTTCAAGAGACACCAACAGCGAAAGGGACCGGTGACGCGGTTGCGGATGCGGATGGCAATGCAAGTGCGGAGGCAAAGACGAATGCATTCGTCCTTGGCAGCGATGACGAGGAAGAAGACGAAAAAGGTGAGGAGGATCTTCTGGACTTCGAGTCACCACCACCACCGTCGGGATCTGCTTCCAAAGTATCCAAGTCGAAGAAGCTGGTGAACGCAGCAGGCCGTGCGACGGACTCGCAGACGGATGGTGCCAGCACCGAGTCCCGACGCCGGGCATCCGAGGCCAAGTCAGTAGCGGCCAATGCGGCACTGAACCCAGCCCAGCCGCTGCACATGACTTTGCCGACGTTCAGAATGGTGGTCCTCGCGGACGAACTCCTGGAGCAGTTTTTCGAATCGTCATTTCCCAGCTCGTTCCACATAATTCAAGGCCTGCATAGCGCCGCCTCGACACCCCATAGCTCGTTGACCACATTCGCCAGCCTAGGCTTCAGCTCTCGGCCGCCGGTTCCGATTCAGCCCGGTCCTCACGGTGCAGGAAGGGGGTTACGTGGCGTGCTCGACAACATCGTGACGGACGGTATGCGTGTCGCGACGGAAGTACGACGCCGTATGGAAGAGGCGCAGAAGGAGCTCGAGAAGAACGCTTTGCCGGGACAACAACAACAGCGGGGTGATGAGGAAGAGGAGGATGATGACGACATTGGCATAGCTGTTGGGGCGAGGAAGGCGCCCGAAGGCTCGGGCGGAGATGGTCGGTCTGTCAAGAGCGCAGATCGTGACTTGTTGGAGGGATTAGATGCCGGGGCAGGGACGCTGAAGGAACAGGAACAGGATCAGGGTCAGGCTTTCATGGACGCCGCCAACTCTGGAGAGGGACGACGGCGGCCGGCAGAGACGGTGGCGCCGCCGGGAACAGGTGTGGTTGAGTTTGAAGGATAACAAGTGACGAGTTTTGGGGACAGTTGTTGAATAGGAAGGATGATGTTGTCACTGCGAAAAACGTTTGCTGGAGACGGCCGTCTTTTCTTCTTCTTCTTTTTTTTTTCTTTGGTCAGGCAAAGAGCATGTGGGCTGGAAGGAAAGAACACGAGGTTGAGGAGGGTGGTTGATGTGTTTGTTACGCGATGGGGACTGGGTTGATTATCTTGGACTTCATACGGTTCATAACGGGGAGGGGGGCGGTTTTTTTCTCCATGGCGCTCTGACGGGACAAGGGGGGAGGGAATGGCATGCATAATAAACTACTAGGTAGGTAGGTTACTCGGTAGGTAGCTCAAGAGAACCAGGACATAGTGTTTCTCTCTTTGTTCCCCCCGCCTCACGCTTCAGATGTCGTAGCCCGAGGCCGCTCATGTCGCTCAGCATCTTCTCAATGACGTCCCCGTCGGCCGCCATGGTCAATGACTCTTGGCGGCGGCCTCTTCTCGCCTGCACCCACCTGACCTGGTTGGTGCTGCTCCTCCCAAGGGCCTCCCTGGTCCCCTCGACGGGCTCAGCCAGGGCGTCGGCCTGGGCCGCATACCAGAAGACGAGCTTGAAGGCCGGCGTGGCGGCGCAGCGGTGGTAGCACACACGGCGAGGACGAAGGAGGGCTAGGGGGCGGTCCTCACGAGGAAGTCGGCGGGGGGGATAGGCGTTGTTGGAGACGGCGCTGGCCTG